CCGGGGGGGAGTGGGTGACTTTTTGGGAGTAAAAGCAAAAGACCTTTTTTTTTTTTTTTTTTTTTTTTTTTTTTTAAATGAGGAAATTTGCTGGTGAAATGAAAGGATTTTTTTAAAAAAAAGAAGATTTTCTTCATCCTAATTAAAACAAAAATCCATATGACTCCAGCCATGCCACTCCATCTTTCGTTTCGCTCCCTCTTCCCGTGACTCACTCTCCCTCCCCCCTTTCACGTCACACTTTCTCAGCGCTCTTCCTCCCCGCTCCTCATCCCTCTGCCTCCCCCTGTCATTTGCCGACTGACTCTCTCCACCAGGATCAAACACACAGCAGGTAACGTTAAAAAAAAGATTGATCTATTTCCTTCTTCCATCCCCTCCAAGCATCCTCTTCCTCATCCCTCTCTTCCCCTGCTGCATGTTTGTCTTCTGTCTCACCCCTCCGTTAGTCCATAATATCAGTCACTGGCGGAGATTGCACAGATTCTGGACAGGCTCAAGGGCTGAAATGTTTTTTTTTTTTTAATAGGTATGCATTATTGGGTTTTGATTTATGTTTCCAGCTCTTACTGCGTGTGAGAGCCTCTTCACAGGGAGCCCAGTTTCCACAGCTTTCCATCCATCAGGCTGCGTCACTGTAGTCACAGTGTGAGTCCATGAGAGGAAGCAAGTGTGAAAGCTCTTCCTTACGACTGTGGGCTGCAGTGAAATGCATTTTGATCATTTTATCTTGTTTTATTGAAGACCTATCATCCATTTTTCATCGCCACCCACCTCACTTGCTCATTTCCATCTGTCATATTTTTCTGCATGGACTTAAAGGAGCAGTGTTATGTTAAAATCTACTTTTTTTATTTTTTTAGCTTTGCATTAAGTTATGATGTTATTCCCTCATCAAAACACACCTTGAGTCTTGCTTTGATTCTTTCATGCTTGTTTGAGAAATCCTTTAATCTCCATGGTAACAGTTCAGCTGTGCAAAGCCTGGTTGGACTTAGCCCCGCCTTCCAGGCACAGCTCCTCCTCAGAGTTGCAGTTTTTAAGCTTCCGCACAAACCCCCACTCAGCTCCTTCAGACTAGCCAGCAACAATTAGCAAACACCTGGTGGAACTGAGCATCTGCTACTCTCCTTATAGCAGCTACTTCTCAGTGCAACGCTGGTAAAAATGTTGTTAAAGTTTTAATGGAGGAGCCATGTTATGATGTGGAGTTTCAGAAAGAGCGTGAGTTTCTTAAAGGGGCAGTATTATGCGTTTTCCAGCCACATACCCTCATTTTAAAGCACAATCAAGTAACTATGTTACCTTCAGTTGTTATAAAAATGTTACATCAAATACGACTTAAAAGAAATTTGGCTTTGTAGTTTATCGTCTTGAAATTGGGCCTCTGCTGTTTTGAAAACTCCTGATTTTTCTGAAACCCCACCTTCAGGAAGTCATCACAACATGGCTCCTCTATTAACCCTTTAACAACATTTCTACCAGTGTTGCACTAAGAAGTAGCTCCTATAATGAGCTCAGCAGATGCACAGTTTTACCAGGTTCCACTAATAGCTGCTGGCTAGTCTGAAGGAGCTGAGGGAGGGAGTTGTGTGGAAGTATGGCAGCTGCTGCATTGTCAAAGGCGGAGCTAGGTCCAACCAGGCGTTTTGCACAGCTGAATGGTTGCCATGGAGATTAAAGGATTTTTTCAAACATTCATTAAAGAATCAAGGTAACACTCCAGGTATGTTTTTGATTAGGGAATAACATTATAACATGATGAAAAGCTAAAAAAAAATAAAATAAAAGTTAATTTTATGTAACACTGCCCCTTTAAAGTGACAGAGGCCCATTTGCAAGATGCTAAATTGAATTTATATTTAATACTTGCAGCATTTTTATAACTGAAGGTAACATAGTTCCTTGATTGAGCTATAAAATCATACTATGTGGCTGAAAATGCATAATACTGTTCCTTTAAGCATAATCTGCTGTAAAGATCAAGATGAGGCTAATATTTAACATTTTGCAGGATGTCTATAGTGAACATCGTTGCCAGGGAGATCCTCGACTCCAGAGGAAACCCCACTGTGGAAGTGGATCTGCACACAGCCAAAGGTGACAAAAACACACTACCTTAGCATCTATCATGTCCTCCAGTCTCTCTGACCTTTAACCCTTTCCCCCTCACTGTTTTCCTAATTCAGGTCTGTTCAGGGCGGCTGTGCCCAGCGGTGCGTCGACTGGCATCTACGAGGCTCTGGAGCTCCGAGATGGCGACAAGACTCGCTACAAGGGCAAAGGTGACAATCGTCAGCATGCATCCATCCTTCTCTTCTCTCCGCTTCCTCCTGGTGAATTTTAATGTTTGTTTTTGTCCTTCAAGGTGTTACCAAGGCTGTTGCTCACATTAATGACACCCTCGGGCCCGCTCTCCTGCAGTCTGTGAGTATCAGCTGCTGAAGGAGCAGGAGAAGCATGAAAAATCTGTTTACTCTGTTTGTGACAGCCTGCTTTCCTCCCAGGGAGTGAGTGTCCTGGAGCAGGAGAAGCTGGACAACACGATGATCGAAATGGACGGCACTGACAACAAATGTGAGCCTGCGTTTCTCGTGCTGAGATATCCGCACTGACATGCAGCTGCAGCGGCCTGCATCAGCTGCATCCATGTGTGATGAGGCGTCTTCTGTGTTTCCTCGCAGCCAAGTTTGGGGCCAATTCTATTCTTGGAGTGTCGCTGGCTATATGCAAAGCGGGCGCCGCGGAGAAAGGCGTTCCCCTGTACCGTCACATCGCTGATCTGGCAGGAAACGGAGATCTCGTCCTCCCAGTTCCAGTGAGCTTTTATTTTGTTTTCATAACCATTCAAACTGTAATTTTCACATATAATTATTCATACGTCACAATAACAAATTTACCTGGTTGATAAATTGTCCCAAAAAATATTGCAATAAATTATAATATTGTTTTCTGAGACCATGTTCAAATGATATCATGTTAATGACAAAATAACACAAGAACACATTCTGAAAGATTAATAAACTTTAAATTCTAATCAACATTTAACACTGGAACTGGAACACATTTTAAATATCCCAAAATAAATGAACAGAACAGCAAAAATAACAAATAAAATTAATTATGACGTCTCTGTAAACAAAATTATCATTCATAAAAACTGAAGACTTTTTTTCCTCCAATTTTTTGGTAGAAAAACAATAAATTTGTGAAAATATCAATAAATAACTATTTCTTAAAATTCAATAATATAATCAGGCCAATCAGATGTATGTATATGGAGGTAAATACAACATATATAATTTAATGGACTATTTTATTTTCGAAAAAAACGTTGTCTACAAAGTTTAAATTTTATTCAAATTCAATTACTATTTATTTATTTTTACAAGGAGAAAATTTGATTTGCAAAACACAAACTTTTATTTGCCCATTTTATAAAACTTTGATTATGATTCTCAAACTTTCTGGTTTTGGGGGAATATCCTGTTCACAAATACATTTTTATTTGAATGAAATATAAATTCACATTTATCTTTCATTGCAGTAATCACAATTTATACCATTATTTTTTATTTGAAATATATTTATAATTGAATAATGAGACAAATTTACCTCCATTTAAAGAGTGTGTCTGAGAGAGACATTTAAAAACACAAAATGTTGCTAAATTTTAGCTTAACTTGTCCCTACTGTAGAACGTTGATGCTACCAGAAAACTAACAGCAGTAATAAAATGTCATGTAATACTGAATTAAAATATTCTTTTTTTAGTCCATTTGTATTGTTTTTATTTTCAAAATGTGTTGGAGAAAAAGTTTGAAAACTTACCCCGAAAATGTGTTAAATATCTTAAATTCCGGCAAAAATGGGGACATGACATTTCTTGTTTTCTCCAGTTTTCCCTCCACGCTACTGTTTTTTTTATTTTAACGCAGTTATGAGGCACGTTGGCCTCAAGTTACTTAACAAGTTGTTGCTAGGTTACCACAAGTTACTCAACAAGTAGTTGCTAGGAAACCAAAGAGCGAGTCAGTTAGTTGATGACGCCGACCTTTTAAACTCTGTCCTCTGCATACATCCCCCAGAATGCTGTGCGGTTCTGGATAAATATTTAATATTTTACCATCAGCTCTATTGATCATGTGTCTATCGCAATATATATTGTTAATTTTAGAGCAAACCATATTTATTATGCGTTAGAACAATGTTAAAGCTTCCTCTCATTGTGTTTTTTTTTTTTTTTTTTTTTTAGGCCTTTAATGTAATCAACGGGGGCTCGCATGCTGGTAACAGACTGGCCATGCAGGAGTTCATGGTTCTCCCTGTGGGTGCAGAGTCTTTCCGTGATGCGCTGAGGATGGGGGCGGAGCTTTACCAGACTCTGAGAAGCGTCATAAAGGAGAAGTACGGCCAAGATGCTACCAACGTGGGCGATGAAGGAGGGTTCGCCCCTAATATTCAAGAGAACAGTGAAGGTGAAAAGTCCACGCACCAGAAAACGATTCCTATTATTATATACCGTATTAACTGGCTTTTTTCTTGTTCTCCGTCAGCCTTGGAGCTGATAAAGACCGCCATAGAGAAGGCGGGCTTCACTGACAAAGTGGTGATTGGGATGGATGTTGCCGCTTCTGAGTTTTTCAGCGAGGGTAAATATGACCTGGACTTTAAGTCCCCGCCCAACGCTGCCCGCAACATCAGCGCTGAGGAGCTGGCCAGCATCTACCAGGGCTTCATTAACAATTACCCAGGTTGGTATAGCAGGTTTCTAAGCCCCCCCGGAGACATGCAGTAGCTGCGTTTCCATTAGAAATGTGCGCAAATCTTTGTCGATATTCTGCTAATGTCAAAAAAAAAAAAAAAAAAAAAACAATTTCGTAATTCCGTTAAATAAGAATTTAAATTAAAATCATGCTTTAATACGCTTGTTCAAGCGATAAGTCAATGACAGTGATGGATGTAAACAGTTATAATGAAATATGTTCATTATTCAAACATAGCTAGTGCTCATCAGCCCTCAGAGAAGACGTCAGCCGTGAGGCATTTAGGGGAAATGGTAGACCGCGATTTTACAGAAGAGCTACGGATTCAGAACACAATTTTTTATTAATTGTGGATGCTATGAGTTTCACATTGTCTGAAAAAAACAAACCACCCTCCTATTACTTCCTGTCATCTTCTTCAATGTTTTCGCCAGCAGTAACTTTCGGCTGTTGATCACGTGACTGGTGTGATGCGAAAAATGTGCAAAATACATGTGTTTCGATGTGTCTGAAAAACGACATCCTTGCACAAAAACTTTTTTTTTGTTCCAAAACATGTTTCTTTTTTTATATTAGCGTGTTTATATTAAGCATAGTATTGCACAAATGGAAATGGCAAAATAAATTTGCTTAATGGAAACATAATTTTGAAAAAAATTCTTAATATTTGATAAAAGTTTGCCTTTCGTCTGTATAGAAATAGATGAATTTCGCAAATCTGCAATGGAAATACTTTCTTTGTCATCACACCAAGACAACAGGAACAGCTGGATATTACTACTGGCCAGAAGGTCGAAGAAGACGACAGGAAGTAGTGACAGGATTTGACAGGATTATGATGCAGCATGTTTTTTTAATGACAAAGCACGTAAACACGTGTGATTGTCATTGTGTTTCTTATTTAATGGAAACACCACAATTGCAAAATTGTGTTTTTTTTGGACATAAGCAGAATATCAACAAAGATTTGTGCAGATTTGTAACGGAAAGGCCATTACTCTCAGTGTTACTGCATCACTGCTGTTGGTAAACACATTTTCTCTGGATAGCAGTGGCACAGTCCTGCCTTTATTTGCTAGAGGGCTAGCAAGCAGAGAGAAAAGCAGATATCTGGAGAGTCTGCTCTCTCCTCATGACACCCAGGTCTGTGGAGGATGTTTTGATTATGTGTGACAGCACAGAAAGGCTTGTTATGCTGACAGGAGTGTGTGTGCAGCTTGTGGAACGTGAAATGTGTATGGCATCATTAGCATCTTCATGCGGGAGCATCCCTTCTGTTGTTTCCTTCATAACAGGATGCGGTATTTGACTTATATGTCCATTTCTTTCCTCAAGTTGTGTCAATTGAAGATCCTTTTGACCAGGACGACTGGCCTGCTTGGTCACAGTTTACAGCTTCGGTTGGCATCCAGGTGAGATGGGACTGTCATTTTATGAAGTTAGATGACTTCAAACAGAAAATGAACTTCACTGACATGGTCTCTGAAACAAGAACCTCCATATTTGTTCTTCTAGATATCAATATTTTTGTTGTTGTAGTATCATAATGTCACATTAGTAAGTCAAGGGAAAAACCGCATGTTGGGAAACATCAGCCAAGAAATGCAAATGGTTCCTCCAAATGGAAAGTGACCCTAAGCACACCACTAAATTAGCTACAATATGGCTTAATGACACCAAAGTCAGTGTTTTGTAATGGCCATCATAACGCCCTGATCTCAGCACCATGGAAAGTTTGAGATCATGTAAAGCTCACAAATCTGACTCAGTTATGGCAGTTCTGTCTGGAGGAATGGGCCAAAATTACAGCAAACTATGGTACAGTCAGAGGCCTGTGGAGGGATACCCATAATGTAAAATTAAGTTATATTCTTGAAAGACAATAAGACCAAATACTAAGTAAAGGTATGTAAAATTACGAATTTAAAGCACATTTCAAAAAAATCATTCTGGCATATTTAATATTTATGTTGTACAGCACAACAGCTTTGGTAGCTTAATGGTTAAACATGTTGGAATGGACCAGTCAAAGCTTAAAAATGGTCAAAGTCTGATTAATTGTCAATTAATCATATGTACTCACCATCACCTGGTGAAATTAATAACTTAAAAACATCACAAAACAATAAATAAGAACAAATAATAGTAATAAAAAAAAATTTCCACTGAAAATACAGCAGTAATATTTTTTTTAAATCCCACAAACCAGATGCCATATACAATTTTAAAAACACAAACTTTAAAAAATAGTTAACTCAGATGGATAGAACTTGTGGGAGAAAATTCAGCCAATTAGAGTCTAACTTGCTCCATTAGTTATACTCTAAATAATAAAACTAAGATATTGCACTCTATTTATTACCAACTAACCAAAGAAAAACTGCACAAACAGAATGTAAACAGCAGCTCCCAGAGACTATGTGCTAGTGATAACTGCTTTAAATATTTCCAAAGTGACAACGTAGTCGTCAACTCCAGTTCTCCTGGAAAACAAAACATCTCTTCAAATTTTCTGGGACTTTTCTCTGCAGGTTGTTGGAGATGATCTGACTGTGACAAACCCCCGCAGGATACAGCGAGCAGTGGAGGAAAAAGCCTGCAACTGTCTGCTGCTTAAAGTCAACCAGATTGGCTCTGTGACTGAGGCCATCAAAGCGTGCGTCACTGCTCTGTTTTTAAATCTCATACATGTGTCCCTGCAGTGCACCAAGCTGCATGCATGTGACACTTACTGCTGCTTCTCAGGTGCAAACTGGCTCAGGAGAATGGTTGGGGGGTGATGGTGAGCCACCGCTCCGGTGAGACAGAGGACACCTTCATAGCCGACCTGGTGGTCGGTCTCTGCACCGGACAGGTAACACGCTCAACCCGCTGGATCATGTTTCCCTTCGTCTGTGTTTTACATCTTTGTGGTTCACGTGTAAGTTTTCACATTCAGTGCATGTGTCCGCAAGGTTATCATAGTTGACTAAAACTAACAAAATAACGAAAACTGAAATTGAGAAAATATTTTTGTTAGCTTGAATAAATAAAAATGATAATTAACCCTTTCATCTGTGACTTATGATCCTTTGTGTCAGGATTTTTTTTTCCAGTTTTTTTTTATTATTATTTTCTTAAGGCATAAAAAAAGGAAGGAATTTTTTTTTTTTTTTTAGGTGATCAATTGTAATTTTCTCCAAATATAAAGTTGTTATTTGAAAAATACACCGGTTGTATTGTTATTTAGAGGCTTTCTGATGTCATAATATATATATATTTTTTTTACCTCCAAGAGTCGTCTACAGTAGAAGAAGGGATTGGCATGCTTTTTTGTCTGTCGGCCATATTGGATTTAGCAAAAATAATTTTCATTGCATTTGCAGCTGATGGCCAGTAGTTGATAGAGTATTTTATGATGCATTAGTGTCCACTTCAGTGGTCTGTGTGCATACATAACATAAAAATCCACAAGAAGCACAAGAAAATGGCTTTTAGATAGCTGTCCTCTGTAGTGACCACTGAAAGGGTTAATGGGGAAATATATCTAATTATAACTAAGTCGAGCGACTAAAACGCACTGAAATTATAGATATAACATTCTTCATTTTTGTGTTTATGAATCTATTTCTTAGCCTTTCGAACTGATGTGAATTTCATTTATCTAACAAGCAGTTTATGTCAGCTGTCGACAAATTACGGTAATCCATAATCCTCCTGGCGGCTATGCTGCGCCAGTCTGCAAAATGGCAGCAGCAAATGTTGGGAGAAAACGCCAGAGTTAGCTATTCAATATCCTGTTGAGCATTCCTTACCCAATCTATGTATACTTAATCCTGATGCTTTGACTTTTTTGAATTTTACACTTAAAAATCATAAAAAACTAATACTACTACTACAACTAATAAAAACTAAAGAATATTTAACTAATAAAAACTAGTAAACACACTCTAAAAACTAATTGACACTAACCGAATTAGAGAAAAATCACAACAAATTAAAACTAAACTATAATGAAAAACTATTATAACCCTGGTATGTGGACAAATAGTTGCAATTAACTGACTTTAGTTCCTTTCTCATCCATCTGTTAGATCGTTTTACTTAAAGCCTGATAATAGTTGAAATTTGTGTTTGTAGTTAAAAATTTAGCAGAAATACACATAAGTTCAGCATAATCACAAACAGCAATAATAGCTTAAGAGAAAAAGCACCAGGTGCAATTGTAAACCTGCAGTTTGGACATATTCATTCAGAAAATGCTACTTGATAGCATTAAGAACAATAAGCAAACATTTTTAATGGTCTTAAGAATAAAACAGCCATGCGTGTAAATGTTTCATTTTTTCTGTTAGATCAAGACTGGTGCTCCATGTCGGTCGGAGCGTCTGGCTAAATACAACCAGCTCATGAGGTGAGTCTCTGTTTCACTTCATCATTCTTAAATATCATTTCAGAGCCTGTAATTTATGCATTTCTTCTCTTTCACGTCCATGCCTCTGTGTTTTCTGTCTTCCTCTCAGGATTGAGGAGGAGCTGGGGGACCAGGCCCGCTTCGCTGGTCACAACTTCCGCAACCCCAGTGCCCTTTGAGTGACGGAGCCATCAGCAGCACGAGAAACCAAATGTTTTTATGTACTCACTTGTTTCAGTGGAGCCCCAAACACACCAAATAACTCATAAATAAGTCTTTGAAAAAATAGAAAACTCATTGTGGCGGTGTTGATCTAAGGCCTCAACAAGTTAAGTCACACTTCTCTTGGTGGTCTTGTTATTTTTTTTCCTCGTATTATGTGCTTTTCATCCATTCCTGAAAGGTGTTAGTCCAGGTTGTTTTGCCAAATTCCTGTTTCAGTGCAACAATTTACTGGTACATTGTCAAGAAACAATAAAGTTATGATATCGTCTTTAATGTTTCTTAAAGTGATTCAGTTCATTTTGAAAATACTTTCTTAATCCCAGATGGGGATTAAATGTTGCTTTAACTCATGTTATCTAAATTTCTTCAAAGATTTGTTGAATATACAGAAAGCTGTGGGCAGGGATCCTGTAGTGGTCTGTGTTACTGCAGATCTGAACAAGCCTCTGACTGAATACAATACATTATACTGCATTAGAAATGCAGTATAATGAAAAATGGACTGACAGAAGTTCAAAATATAAAGTATTTTGATTTAGTTTCTAGTGTAAATGTTTTTGTATTCTTGAAGGACAAAAATAACAGGTGACTTTCAGTCAGATACAGGAGCTTGTTATAAGGCAATAATTGCGTAATATTGATGAAAAAGTTCTAGTTCTACTGGCAGATTATGAAACTGGAAACATGGCTTGTTGGAACTTGTACTTTTTCATCAATATTAAATAATGTCTTAAATATACCTGACTGAAAGGTTGTAAGTTAGATTCGTCTCATTTTAAGTTTACTACAATAAATACTCAAGTAAAAGTAAAAAGTGGTGTTACTCTTACTTGAGTACACTTTTTGGGCATCTCTAACTAACTTTGGTAACACCTAACCAGAGTATTTTTGCTACTTTTATCCTATTTCCAAACCAAATGTGTCCCATTTAGTGTCAGTTCCGAAAGCCGCCAGCAGAGGGCGCGCCAGCAGAGAGGCGCTGCTCCAGCCGAAGCCGCTTGTTGCTGCCGCCGCCGCCGCTGCTCCTCCTCGGGCTGCTTGCTGCTGGTGGCGATGATGATGATGATGATGAAGGAAGTCTGGAGCCACGCAGGCGCACCGCGCACAGTCTCCGGACGGGTTGCCACGGTAACCACACAATAGGAGACGGGACAGGGGGCTGTGCGAAGGGGAGAGGAGAAGGAGTGAACGACAGGAGCGGGGAGGAGGAGGAGGTCTGCAGAGCCGCTTGACTGGACACACCGCTGCAACCCTCTCCCAGACAGACACAGTCAACTGTTTCCAAACGAGTCCGAGGCTCCTTTGTTAAGACACAGTAGAAAAATCTCGGAAGCGCACACATTTATCTATTAAAACCAGACATTTATGGTTTTGTTGTTGTTGTTTTTGCTCGTTGAGGTTTACTGCGGCGAGTTATTCAAGCTCTCCATGTAGTAAAGGTGACTCTGGAGGGACTAGTCTAAGGAGACCCTCCCTCTTGATCCCCTCCCTCTTCAGAGTTTTGGCCCTCTCTCTGCGCCTCTCTTCCTCCCTCCTCCTCCTCCTCATGTCTCCCCCCTTCTCTCCTTATGCAAATCACGCCCTCACCACTCTCCCTTTCCCTCACCCGACGTGCATCCCTCTCTCTCTCTCTCTCGCTCTCTCTAAATATTTTGACTGTAAGACTGGAGAGGGGGTACAAAAAAGTGCAAGTCGTCTTGAAGAAAGAGGGGGGAGAGAGAGAGATGGGGGGTGCAAAATAGAAAAAAAAAGAGGGGGGGACCGAAAGGGGGTGGGGAAGAGGCATCAATTTGTACAGTCTGCAGTTGGCACCCCTGGTTTTTTTCCCCCTGCAAGGAGTAGCAGGAGATTTCTTCTGCGTTATTGTTATGGTCGGATCCCGCTCCAACATGAGCCAGCGCCAGGCTCTGCTGACAGACGCCTGGGCCCTGAGGTGTGCGTGTCGGCGTGCAACATAAAGCAAAAAAAAAAAAAAAAAAAAAAAGGAGAGAGAGAGAGAAAAAAAAAAACACCCACAAACACAA